CAGAGAGATAGAGAGAGAGAGAGACAGAGAGAGAGAGAGACAGGGAGAGAGAGAGACAGAGAGAGACAGATTATATATATATAGAGAGAGAGAGCGAGATAGAGAGATAGAGAGAAAGAGAGAGAGAAACAGAGAGAGACAGGACAGGGGAAGAGAGAGAGAAAGAAAGACAGACAGAGAGAGAGAGAGAAAGAGAGAAAGAGTGAGTGAGAGAGAGAGAGAGAGACAGACAGAGAGAGAGAGACAGAGACAGAGAGAGACAGATTATATATAGAGAGAGAGAAATAGAGAGAGAGAGAGAGAGAGAGACAGAGAAAGATAGAGAGAGAGACAGAGAGAGAGAGAGAGAGAGAGAGAGAGAGAGAGAGAGAAAGGAGAGCTGGAGGTGTTACAGAAGTTTGTGTTACAAAGGTGACTTGCGCACCATCTGGAGGGAACCGGTGCTCTGATTGATGGTGCTCTTTGTTTAAAAGTCCAGGTGCTGCAGGTTTATTCTCAGGTTTAGCCTCGTACACACAAACACACAGAGACACAGCCACCTTTTCAGAGACGTCTGAGTTCGTCATCATTTCATAACTGATCACAGGCGACGCTGATGTTGTAACAAAGCGTACTTGAGTAACTCTACAGGCCTCAACATGAGCCCAGTCTGAAATGAATGCCCTCCATCAGCCATTCACAGCAGAGCTGCCAGCACCGCAGAACAAAGACACAAACAGAACATCCTCAACACGTTCTTATAGGTGTGGATGGTGAACGCCTTTAATGCTCCACTCTTCAATGGTTCTTCAAGGGTTCTTTAGTAAAGACACTGATATATAGAACCATGAACACTCAAAGTACCCTTTGTATGCTTAACTGGTTCTTTGCAGGGTGAAATGGTTCTTCAGACTAATGAAGAATGTGTTGTAGATTGTTGTAAATAGCAGCAAAAAGCTTGAAGAATCATTTTCAAAAGGGTTCTGTATAGAACCATGTACAACACCATCAATCTGAAGAACCATTTCATAATGTAAACCCCGCTTTAATCATCCAAATGGTTCTTTAAGTGTTCATGGTTCTGTATAGGAACTTTGTCTTTACTCACGAACTCTTGAAGAACCATCTTTGGAGTGTGGAGTAAACTGCCCCACTGTCTCTGCTGCGGGTTTCCCACCCTGTGATTTACTGTTTGAGGAACATGTGCAGTGTTTTCTGAGCAGCTTAGGTGCCCTGGTAGATCAGATGAGTTAAATTATGAAAATTATAAAAATATAATGCTACATCGTTTTCCAAAGGCGTTTATGGCTCTTCTGTAACAGTGGAAAACATCTCAATTTTTAATATTGTCACTGTCCAAAGAAAAACTTTTAATGTAAGTCAATGTAAAGAGATTTTATTCCAAGCAATTGTGTAGCATTTCTATTGGTCCATTCATCATGAAATTTTACAGGACAGCTGCTGAGTTAAGACAAGTCGTGGCCACGACATAATTTAGGATCTTGTTCTCACACCTTAATAAGTCATAGCCATGACATAATTATCTTGTTCCCACACCTTACTAAGTCATGGCCACACATTATTTTTATTTATACAGGATGTCACCAGCGGGGCTCCATACCATCACAAAAAAATAGAGATTCTTTTTTTTCTTTCTTTTGGACAACAACGACAGGTAAAGCTTGTGGGCGTGGCTTTTAAAAAAATCGCTTGCAGTCTAAAGTTCCCCCAGCAGGGAGCACAGTAAGCATGCAAGTCACTGTGAACCCACACCAGAAGGAGCTCATGAATACATGTGTTTGCAGTAACATCTGTTAAAGCAGCTTAATATATTTTTTGTCTAATGTTATTAAATTATTGTTTATTTCTGTGAAAGATTGTAAAACATTAAAACTCACATTTTTGTTCTGTTAATTTACTGAATTATTTTGTAATGCAGCCAAACAAAAAATCTACAGTGTATATCCCTCCAGAAAAATATATTATTTGTATAAATTTGTTCTGTGTATTTTTGTCATCCAATTTTGAGACCTTACTATAGTCACTGTCTCTATTTATTGTTATTGCTGCTGATATTTTTCTACGGCAACACATGTTTGAGCAAGTTTAGTGTTTGTCTTGCTAATGGATCAAACGTCTGCTTCATATACTGGACACCTCATGGCATATCATCACTGTCCAAATAGTGACTTTAGAGGAGAAGTGATTTTGTAGCATTTCTATTGGTGCATTTCTCAGGAACTGTTCAGGTAAAGGACAGCTGCTTTGCTATGTCAAAAACTAAAAATTGACAAAAATGGAAATACATTTTTTTTGGGGCAGCAATGATGTGTGTAATGACTTTGAACTGGACTGAAGTGCTGAGGTGGCCACATGCTCGAGATGTCCCATTACACTGAGCTGGTATCCATCCTCTCTGAAGGACACTGCTGCTAGGAAAGCATACAGACAGTGCAGCAGTCCTTTCTGGAGGTCAGACTGCTAATAGATGACAGTGTGTCCAGACTAGAGTGGCCCCATTATGAAGCGGCTCCTGGGAGGCTGAGTATCATCTCACTTTACCGCCAATACAAAGAAACTGGGTGACTCCAAGGGCAAAGACACCATGTTTAGTCAGCTGTGGAGAGGCTGAATAATGACACTGATTCTTAACTGTTATTTCTGTTATGACAGGTTTATTTACTCTGTTTCTGTTTCTTTCAGTTCTCATTTTATGCTGGATCTGCATGGAGGACCAAAAAAAAAGTTTCGCTTTCAATGATTAGGTTAAAGCAACACTATGTAAGATTTGGGGATTTGGAGCCCTCTCTGGTGGAAATGTGTAATTGCACGCAATGTGTCAAACAACATTTTGCAACATCAGTTGTGCCTCAGACCCCCACAAATTGATGAATCTGACTTTTGCGAGTGCATTGGAAGACAATTCGAAGAGAACTCAGTCTAAACTTGGTGAAGGATGCAACTTCTGTGTGGATGTGAGTGAATCATCTACTATTGTCATCATCATCAGTGATGATCATAATGATTTTGAGACCATTTGAGGCCTAAACATTGAGCTGGACCTTCTTTTTGAGTCTGTGTGTGACGTTAATACATAAAAATATAAGACATAGTCCGAAAAAGTCCTACCAAACTTGTCACAGTGACACACTGACTTTTAAATGATTATTTCACGCTTTACGGGGTGACTCGCAGCAGCACACACTCACCATATTTTGTGAATTCTTTTCTCTATAAACTCTTTCAGATTTAACAAAAATACTACATAGTGCTGCTTTAAATCAGATGAGTAGCACTAGCACAGATACTTCCAGTTTCTGAGATACACTTACATTAAACAAGACTAATAAACGCCTAAAATTATTTTCTAAAAAAATGAAAGTGAAACTTGTAAACATGCAGTCTACTTTACCTAAAACTTGACCTGAAATAGTTTCTTAAAGCACATTATTAGCTAAATAGCTACCCACATAGCGAGAGGATAGTGGGTCACTGTTGGAGCACTGATGGCAAAGCTGGCGGCCCACTGGCTTTTCCACAGCGTCTTCCAGACGGCCCCCTGGTGGTTAAGCTGTGTATTAGCGTAGTGCTACTTTTCATCACTTAGGGCCAGTCCCATCTCACCCCTACCACTGAGCCCTTAGCCCTCTGTTTGCATGTTCATGTCTAGGGGTAGGGTGTCCTGATTCTTGTTGAGATAGAGGGGGAGGGTGAAGTGTTAGAGCTACATGACCCTCCAAACAGAGACTCCAAACAGAGTGTTATGAAAAAAAGAAAAAAACCAACAGGATAGAGAACAAGAGACCAAAGAAACCCACAAATGTGAGAATTTTCTCCGTTAAAAAATTACGATAATCATTGTTTTATCTTTGTTTAATGTCATTTCAGTGTATTATGGTCGTTTTCTTCATAACAAGCATAAAAAAATCGCTAATAGTATGCTAATGTCTCGGTAGCTAGCTAGCTAACTTTCCCGTTCCACCTTAAATAGTCCAGCAGTTCTGACGCCTGAAGTGCCAGAATGTAACTGCTGCACCATTTAAGGTGGAACAGGAAAATTCAAACAAGAAGCTGGTGAATATCTGACTTCACAGTTTGTGTTGGTCATCCTCCAGTCCTTCATCAGTGGTCACAGGACGCTGTCGGCTGGATATTTTTGGTTGGTGGACGATTCTCAGTCCAGCAGTGACACTGAGGTGTTTAAAAACTCCAGCAGCACTGCTGTGTCTGATCCACTCAGACCAGCGCAACACACACTAACACACCACCACCACGTCAGTGTTACTGCAGTGCTGAGAATGATCCACCACCCAAATAGTACCTGCTCTGTGAGGGTCCATGGGGGTCCTGACCACTGAAGAACAGGGTAAAAGGGGGCTAACAAAGTATCAGAGAAACAGATGGACTACAGTCTGTAACTGTAGAACTACAAAGTGCACCTATATAGTAAGTGTAGCTGATAAAATGGACACTGAGTGTAGAAATAAGGAGGTGGGCTTAATGAAGTGGTCAGTGAGTGTATATGCAGGGTACTTATATAAAGCTACGTAACATATATGTGCATATATTTTGAAATATATGCCTGACCCTGTATGATATATGTGCAAATATGGCCATATATCAGATTCCCATATGGTCTAGCTTATTAGCTATTTTATGTGATTACATAATTTAATATAATACATTCTGCATAGTAGCCTATTAGCAGCAATAGCAACAGCAGAAAGGATTTTAATGCATTAATCTTCTCAAAACTATCATAAAACAGTGTCTCAGTCATCAGGCAGTGAATTCATAACCATTTCATGTAGTAACTTTCTGGAGGAGGTGGACGTCTGGTTCCTATCACCACCACTGTGAACTATTCTGACTCGGTATGTTTCTTTTCATATCTTAACCAAGGTAGAAATTTTGAAATTTTAGTGGAATTCCCCTTTAAATGAGCTTTTATGTTCAGATTTTGTCATGTATCATAACATAGGAGAGACAGAAGAACAGAGAGAGTGACAGAGAGAGTGGGAGAGCAGGAGACAGGCAGACGGAGCAGACGGGAGGAGGGCGTGTGCTAAAGGAGAGGAAAGAGAGAGGTAGAGTGAGGGAGTGAAGCCGGGCGAGAGGGAGAGGAGGATTGAGAAACTCTACACACGTAGAGAAAAGAAGCCACGCTGAGACTCCGTATTCGACTAAACAGCCCAGATCAGAGAGAGAAACTACAGTGAGAGGTAAAAATGCTCGAATATACTTTATCATCTGTGATGTTGGCTTTGGTGAGAGTGACTGTTGTGCTTTTGCCTTATATAGAAAAATACTGTTAATCAAAATTACACCTGCATTCAGGTTACAGTAGCGTGTTGGATGTTATTCAGTACTGATTATACCGTTCGTTGTCCTCTCACAATAAAACCTGCTTACATTGTTATACATTATATGTATAAAAAAAGAAATTTATTCATGTCTTTTATTTTTTCAGATGATTGTAAAACACTAGTTGTGCTTTGTATCAAAATTATATGATAACTGAACCAACAGAAACAGACAAAATGTCTAATGATATATATATATATATATATATATATATATATATATATATATATATATATATATATATATTGCTGCTGTCAGAAGAAAACCTTGTATCATTTTTCAGTTTTTGACATAGTTCGAAAATGCCTGTCGCCCTTTAAACTGTGTGTACATTTTATGAAGAATGGATCAAAAGTAATGACCCATAATGACTTGGAAAATATTCTGGTTCCATTGACTTACATTAAAAGTAATTTTAGAGATACAAGGTTTTGTTATTTTATATATATATATATATATATATATATATATATACATATATATATATATATGCATATATTGCTGTTGTGAAACAAAACCTCGTATCTCCAAAATGGCAACTTTACAGGAGAAGGAAAAAACCTACTTCACTTTTAATGTAAGTCAATGGAACCAGAATATTTTCCAAGTCATTATGGGTCATTACTTTCAGTGCATTCTTCATAAAATGTACACACAGTGTAAAGGGCAACAAGCATTTTCAAACTATGTCAAAAACTGAAAAATGAAAAAAATGGAGATAAAAGGGTTTTCTTCCAACAGCAGCGGATTTAACTTACAGGACTTTCTTAACAGTAAGTTAATGCACCAAGTCATAATTCTAAGTCATAAGTTGGATCATTTCTATTGGTCTGCTATGTATATAGGTCAATAGATAGATAGATAGATAGATAGATAGATAGATACATACATAGATACATAGATACATACATACACATACACATATATACATACATACATCATTTCAAAATGTCATGACGAACAGACCAATAGATATGATCCAAATTGACCTAGAATTATGACTTGGTGCATTAACTTAATGTTAAGCTAAGAAAGTTTTTCCTTTCCTTTCATTTTTGGGGAAACTAGGTTTTGTTCAGATTTTATATATATAAATAAATATGTTTATTTATTTATTTCTATATAAAGTCTTAAATAATACTATACATAATGTAAGATTATTCGAATTTTACAGCGCATACAGCAACAAACACGACTCCTACAGACATTTTTCATCCTTGTGATTTCTAAACATTTGTAAGAGCTGCTGTCAAAGACTGAGTTAATAAATCTACCGCTGAGCTGTTTCAGTGGATTCTAGGTAAATAACACACCCACATTACAATCATTTATCAGTTCAGAGCATGTTTTCTGCCAGAATTCTGTACTTAAGCCAACCCTGTAATGTGGTGAAGCACCCGGTTGTGTTTCATAAGCATGTCTCGCCATGCCTGACAGAAACCTCCGCGGGTCCGCAGTAAAGATACTGTTGCAATGCAAACAGCATGAAGGAGAGGACATGCAGCGGCATGCACAGAGACGCGGGAGGAGAAACCAGGCCTGAAATAATGCCCTGTTCCAACCAAGGGTGGAGCTCTGTTTTCAGCAGCGTTGGGTGTAACTGGAGCCCCCCACACTCATACATGTGCTAATGCAGAGCGGTCTACATTAAGTTAGCGAGCTGCCTGCTTTCACATCCACAGAGAGCTGGCTTTAGACTTTACATTAGACTCTTAGATTCAATGCATATAGTGATGCATTCTATATGCATCCGTGGACGGTAGAATTAGATTTTGAGATTTAGATTTGAGATTATATTTCAGATTTAACTATAGCTAAAGGAGCTAGCTTAGCATCAGGGCAACAAAGTCAAGTCCTGAAAGACTGCAGGCCTGTTGTTCTGCGGCGGTTCACTGACTTACTGTTTCACTCTGTTTATTATTTTGAATAAGGTCTGATGTTCACTTCGGTGAGCTTTTAGCTAAAATCCTGTCACAACTTCAGCAATAATTAATAATTTATTATTTTTAATTTTGGCTATTGCTGTCATTTTCTAAATGTAATGCTTTCATCATTGTACTGAGTTTACCTTAGTAGCACCTTGAGATTTGTACCTAAATGAAAGATGTATTATAAATAAATGCATTTTATTATTATTATTATGATGACAACAGCTAATGTTAACCCTAGCCAATGTTAGGCAAGTCAGTCGGCACATTTAATGGTTTCTCTGACAACACAGCTAGACTGTAACGTTATTGGTAGCACTAGTGTAAGTTAGAGCTAATCATTTCGGATGACTTACATCTCCTTTCTTCTTTTTCTGCTCTACAGTTTCAGAACATTTCAAAATAATAGTCTCCCTCTTAGAAAAAAAAACAGCATAGACCAGCATGGCTGGTCACCACCAAAATCAGCATAGCCCTGTTGCTGGAAGAAAACCTCATATGTCCAAAATGGTAACTTTGCAGGAGGAGGAAAAAACATACTTCACTTTTAATGTAAGTCAATGGAACCAGAATTTTTTCCAAGTCATTTTGGGTCGTTTTTTTTTGGTCCATTCATCATGACAATTTACACACGATGTAAAGAGCAACTGGCATTTTCGAATTATGTCAAAAACAGAAAAACGACAAAAATAGAGATACGAGGTTTTGTTCTGACAGCAGCGATATGTTGTGTTTTGATGCTGGTATGCTAAACCAGATCCAGACCAGAACTAGACCAGCATAAACCAACATAGACCAGCTTAGACCAGCATGAAACGCTTGCTGATCTGTGCTGTTTCTTTCAGTAGGGCTCTTTTCGGAAAATAGGTGAAAACAACTGCGACCAAAAAGCTGCATCAGCCATGTTAGCTGGAGATGTTGAAACAACTTGCTAACAGAAAACTCGTTAGCACATAAACATCAACACTCATCGTCAGCTGAGAGGCCATTGAAACTGAGCTACTGTGCCTCAGAAGCTCTTATTCTTCTACTCGGCCAGCGTTGTTGTTGTAGCTGTTTAGCGGAAGCGGCATAACCGAGCAACGAGTACCGCCAGCCGAAAACAGCAGAAATGTGAAAAGGGTCTTCGTCTCTGCACTTTTAGCATAAGCGTGTAAATGGGTGTGATGGAGTCAACGTTCTATACGCTGTTTCACTGTATTGTTTTCTACACTCAACTGCTGTGCTCAGCTAGGTGGTTAGCCTATAGGAGCTAGCACGGCTCAGCTATGATCCCACAGTCGTGAGGAGTAAAGGCTTATACACCTGTCTGATTTTTCAGGGGAAGGCCTTGATTATTTCAGCAAGACAATGTCAAACCACATTCTGCATGTATTACAGCAGCATCGCTCCATATTAAAAGAGTCTGGGTGCTAAACTGGATGCTGCATATGTTGCCAAAACATGTTTATACCATTCAGCATTAATGGTGCCTTCACAGATGTGCACGTCACCCATGCCATGTGCACTAATGCCCCCTATACCATCATGAATACTGGCTTTCGAACTGTGCACTGATAACAAGCTGAGTGGTCTTTAGCCCGGAGGACGCAGTGTCTATGATTTCCAAAAAGAATTTCAAATGTTGATTCGTCAGACCACAGGACACTTTTCCACTTCCCCTCAGTCCATTTTAAATGAGCTCAGGCCCAGAGAAGGTGGCAGCATTTCTGGATCCTGTTTATATCTGGTTCCTTCTTTGCATTTTAGAGTTTTAATTAGCATTTGTGGATGCAGTGATGAACTGTTTTCACAGACAGTGGTTTTCAGAAGTGTTTCTGAGCCCATGCAGTGATTTCCACTACAGAATCATGTCTGTTTTTAATGCAGTGCTGCCTGAGGGCCCAAAGATCACGGCCAGCTAATGCTGGTTTTTGGCCTCGTCCCTTACATACAGAGATTTCTCCAGATTCTCTGAGTCTTTTAATGTTATTATGTACCGTAGGTGATGAAAAACAAAAGTTCTTTGCTATTTTATGTTGAGAAATGTTATTCTTGAATTGTTGCACTATTTGATGGTGCAGTCTTTCACAGAGTGGTGAACCCCTCCTCATCTTTACTTCTGAAAGACTCCGCCTCTCTGAGATGCTCTTTATACCCAATCATGTTACTGACCTGTTGCCAATCAACCAGCAGGTGTTTTTTTGTTTTTTTTTCGCATTACACAACTTTACCAGCCTTTTTGAAAATGGCTCTATGTAGCACCAAAAAGCAATCTTTTGTTGTTATGATGTCAAGCTTGTCACAGCAGAAGACACTTTCTGGTGCTATATAGAACCATTTTCAACAAGGTTCTATAAAGAACCATATACACACACATTCTCCATCTATCTGAAGAACCATTCCACCATGCAAAGAACCATTTAAGCATGCAATCTAAATAGAACCAGTGCGTTTACTAAGGAACCGCTGAAGAACTTTTAAGTGTTGTCAATATCTCTAATATTTCTCATTATGAGACTGTTGTAAAAAAAAAACTGTAAGATAATTTCACTTATTTCTCAACATTTTTTCATGTTTTAAGCATTTTTATCTAGTTAAAGTGCTTTTATTCCACTGGCAGATGATTTGATTTGTTCATTCCTTAAAACTAGTACCGTAATCTGCCAGTGTAATTAAACATTTTTGCTAGATGCAAAGCAAAAATGTATAGAAATGGGTGAAATAATCTAACAATATTCTTACAACAATATAATAATGAGAAGTATTAGAGATACTAAAAACAATTAAGATGTTTATATAATTTTTGCAGTGTGGCTAAAGCATTAAAGATCTAGACATTAGTAAGATTGAAAAGTCAGTGTTGACACTCTGAAACGACCAAAGGCAGATCTCCAGAGCTCCTCCTCCTCCTGACCGTCTACCTGTGATGGACTGATGAGAGCAGACGG